AGAAATGGAGGGAAAGAGATCAGAGGGTCAAAGGGAAAGAATAGAGAAACACAAAGATGAACAAGAGGACTGAACCAATCACATGTATTCAAAATGATCTTAGCATACAATGGGTTAACAAGGGTTTATTTATATAGAAACAAGATTGACCATAACTGCTATATTCTAAACTTATGTAAATAACATAACTAACTTGATTATCTGAACAGTCCTGTGTCATTATTAAGATTACATAACAATAACTGTCCCCACTACTTCCCTTTTGTTGTAATTGCTAATGTAAACTGCCCCAACCTTTGCACTATTGCATGTTTCCTCGTAAACATACCCCAACTGTCGTTTCTTTTTTTATTTATGGCTGCTTTTAACCTGCATGATATATTTATACACACAACCTATTTAAATTTCAGGGTCTTACATCCACTACCACAACCCAACCATGTTTAGCCGTACATCCCGAGGCAACAGTACAATAAGAAGAAACAAGGTTTATTCTTCTATCAAGCAGCAATTATTTTAACTAGAAAGAAAAGCAAATGAATATAATTCCAAACCATATTTACATGTGTGTTTCAAAATTGAGGAATGAAGAGGAGAAGAATAAATTCTAATTTCACAGTTCACTAGCAAATTGTTCATGACAAGGGAGAGTAAAACCTGGGACTTAATTAAATTGGCATTCCTTTTAACAGCTTCACGAATTAAAGGTAAATGGCTCAACAAATCGTTTTGTGAAGGCCTAACTTCATAACAGCTGCAATTATTTCATTGAAAAACAATAAATTGTGAGTGCCCAATCTCATGAACCAAGCAGAAAAAGAACAAAAAAGTCCAAAGTCTGAAAGCCACCTAAAATCCTTGGACAAGTAGCCCCACACAGATTTAGCAGATGTTTCAGGATATTTCTGCACATAGTGTAGGAAGTGAATAGTGATCAAAATCGTCCTTATGGTTTTCTCAAACCACTTCTTTGGCTTCTCAAGTTTGATCCATTGTCTACCCTTTAATAGCACTGATATCTCAGGTTCTCTACCGAAAACGTCAAACTTCCATGCAACGACGTGCTTAAACACTTTCTGCAGCCCATTGTCTGCAAAACCGTCAAGGAACACTTGCCCACTTTCGCCATCTGTATCCTCAGATTCATTCCATTGAATTGGCAATACAGAAAATGAAACAGGCTCTTTCTCATCATCCTCCAAATGGTAATTTGACACAGATTGTGGATGAACTTCGGCCTCATCATCCGAAGACGCCATACCCCTATTCGGCCCAAATTGTCTCTGCATGCACAAACGAAACACTAAACAAGTAACGATTTTTTGGACAAAAAAATAAAGGAACCCTTTGTGAACACCACTATCTCCCATTGAGAAGAGATAAACAAGAACCCATGTCACCCACAACCACAGAAATTTATAATTAAATCAAAGCCCTCCCCGGAAACTAAAAGCGGTAAACAACGACAATTTATCATAACAGTCAACGGGACCGCCGTAGGAAATAAAATATAAAATCGGGTCGAGGAACCAAAAACATTCATAAACCTAGAATCATCGAACCCCACACTAGAACCATTTTGGGAGGAATTGATATGCGTGCATGCATGAACCGACACGTATGAAATCAGCAATCCCTCGTCTCTAAAACAATTAATATTTCTGGAGCACTAGGGACGTAGAAGAGAAAACGCCAAAAGGGAATGCGCAGTGGGATTGTACAGTGTACCTTGTAGTACAACCACAGAGCGAGACACGAGACACCTTAACAGAACGCAACAGAACGCAGCCCCTGCACAATTTGGCTACGCGTTTGATTCTTCTGAGGAGGAGAAAGAGGGTTTTGATTGCAATTCAAGTAAAGCAGACTTACGGTACCGAATGCCGGTAGAGGCTATGGAAGAAAGCCACTTCGGCTACAAATTTGCGCCGTGCCTCCCACGAGAACCAAATTTCCGCTTGGGAGTAGCTGCGAAGCGGCGTCCCTCGGCGTCGAAATCGCAGCCGTTGAAATTAATCTAACAACTCACATTGTGCCACATCATGATGCTATTAATTAAAAGTAAAAGGATTTATGAGTGGCCTAGAATTCAAGCTGAATCCAGATGACCATAAATGATGGAAAAACTCAACGACCAAATATTTATATATAATTTTTGGAAAAATTTCAAAAAAATAATAGTTGAATTTTAAAATTTCAAATCAATATTGGTTACTACACTAGTAAAGAAAATGATTATACTCAAAAAAATAAATAATAACATATTTTTATAGTAATTCCTGATTTGGAATTTTGAAATTCAACGGTCAAGAATTTTTTCATAATTTTTTGGACTTATCCAACTTAAAGTGGAATATTTATCTTAATTCAATCTAATGCAAATCAAGTCAAACATGTACCCCAAACTATTTTTCCAGGTGCGTCCAGGGTCCTAAAGTAATTTTTAGTACATCCAGTGCTCCAAACTAATTAAAACGGTGCATTTATATCCTGAGGTAACAGAAAAGTTAAGTTTAACCGTTGTCTTACTGACTCAGCCGAAGGTTGACCAAAAAATCCTACGTAGCGGACACGCAAGCATCTAATGTGTATTATTTTGACGAGTTAAGGTATATCCAGCACCTTGAACTATTTTCCCAAATGCGCCCAATGTCCTAAAGTAATTTTTTGTGCATCCAGTATCCCAAACTAATTAAAACGATACATCAACATCACAGGCTAACAGAAAAGTCTCGTTTGACTGTTACCTTACTAACTCAACTGAAGGTTGACCGAAAAACCCTACATGGCGGATACATAGGCGTCTGATGTGAATTATTTAGACTAAAAATTCAATTTATTTCCTCCTCTTCTAACATTTATCTTCTGCCAGTTTTTAAACTTAAAGAAAAGAAAGACTACCGATCCACCCTCTTAAATCATAGTACATGTATCACCTATTCAATCCCATCCTCCTCTTTAACATTTTATCCTATTTCTTCCACCACTCCAATTTGAAAACCACAACCGCCATCATAGCACACTTCTGTCTCCGTCTCTGTCAACTCCTCATTCGACTCACATTTGCTTTCCTCCTCATAGAACACAGTAAACTTCCCTTGGTCACTCCATCGATATCGTCGTCGCCTCCCAAGAAAACACTCGCCTTCACCAGGCTTGTCTCGGGAGCTTTAGTCAAAATAATATAGATCAAATGCCCACGTGTCCGCCACATAGGATTTTTTGGTCAACTTTCAGCTGAGTCAGCAAGATAACGGTCAAACGAGACTTTTCTGTTAACCTAAGATGTGGACACACCGTTTTAATTAATTTGGGACACTAGATGCACCAAAAATTACTTTAGGACGCTGGGCGCACTCAGGAAAATAGTTCGGGGTGTTGGGCGCACTTTAACCTGTCAAAATAATACACATCAAACGCCTGTGTGCCTGCCACATAGGATTTTACGGTCAACCTTTGGCTAAGTTAGCAAGATAACAGTCAAACTTAACTTTTCTGTTGGCCTGGGATGTGGGTGCACCATTTTAATTAGTTTAGGACACTGGATGCACCAAAAATTACTTTAGGACACTAGACGCATCTGAAAAAATAATTCGGGGTGTTGGGCACATTTTAACCCTTTAAATTAAGTAGGTCCAACAAATTAGGTGTTTCACTGTAAAATAAAAATAAAAAAAATAGCTCAAAGCTACTCAGCAATTTTATAGCATCAGTCAAATTTATTCTTAATTTTTAGCTGATGTAGTGGGCATCATTCATCATAAACCTACTAAAATATAAATTTAAGAACATTAAATTGATGCTAACCTTCATAACTTGAAGATCAATCCAGCAAGAGTCTATTTATTTTGTTTAAGCCAATAAATTTTTTTTATTTTGTAATTCTTTTTAATAAAGCCATGAGCCAATAGTCATTAATTAGTGTTTAGATGCCCTTTAATCGTTAATGACATATTAGAGTTTATTTATTTTTATTATGTGATTAATCTTTTAGTTTTTTTGGGTCAAAATGATTACTCTTTTAGTTTAAAAGCCCATATTATTATCCTCATATAAATCAAAGTATATTTCATGATTTGATTTGATTCTTTATCCCTATAATTAGATTGTCTTTCATAATATTATTTATCCAAATTTAAAGTATATTTAATAACCATTAACCCTGATCCATTCATAAATTAGATTATTTCAAATAATCTAATATTCTTCCATATCCTCAATGACTTTCATTAATTAATTCATTATTTATTAAACCCCTTAATATTAAGTAGATTATCTAAATAATCTACTGTAATTAAAAATATTTCCATTATTTTTATTTATCTTTTAACCATATCTACCATCATGTATCCTAATCCTTTCAGGTTTTTCAACTAAATTAATATTTTTAGAAGAGTCTTAGTAAGTTAAAAGTCCTAGTTAAAGTCGGCCTATTAAGTTATAAATAACCCTTTTGTATATGCTATTTTGGGAGATCAATTATGGAATTATGAATAAGAATTTTTTTTCACAAGTATTTACTTATTGGTTATGTATTTTTTATAGAATTATGCTTGTTATGTATGGAATTCCTAAGTCATTTTCCATTAGCTTTTGAGTTTCATATACTTAGCGTTCTCCGGAACACTTATTCATTTTCCTAATTTCAATATCACTTATCTCTTTCTTATTCTTGTTATTTTCTTTCTTAATTCTTAATTGTTTTTGTAACTCGTTGCTCAATTTGTAATTTTTGAGTTTTTTTAGGACAAGTTTCTATTGGGTCCAAATCATAAACTATCCCTAATTAAACCTCCTATATTTTCTCCCATATTCCGTTTTAAAACTCATATGAATTTTTAAATTTCACTAAAAGAAACTGAATTTCTCTCTTTTTTTTATTGGAATTTCTCTCTATTTTTACATCTTACATGAATATCTATCGAAACAATAACATGAATATTGTTCAGTTTTCTCAGAATTATAATTTTATTTTCAAATTTGACAAAAAAATTTAATTAAAAATAAAAATGATGTAATTTTAGGAAAACTAGAGGTCTTTTACAATTTGTTACATATACATATATATATATATATATATAGAAATTTAAAAACGCACAATTTTAAACAATTGAAAGGAAATTTTTATAATTTATTTTTATTTTATAATAAATTTCTCTCATCTTTCTTAATTTCTTTTAGTGTTTACTCTTATATGTGTTTGTGGATTAAATAGTTATTGTCAATTGATTTTGAGGAGGATACAAAATATAAAACTCCAACAAAGCACACAATCTATTTATAAACGATAAATTATAAATAATAGGACTCATTTCTCATAATAATTTGTTCATAATTTGACATTTTATAAATTTTAGATCGATATTGAGATTGTATTAATTTTTTATTAACATATTAGGGTGTGTTAACTTGTTGATATTATCTACGTAACGTTTTATTTTCTTCGTTTGAACTTACACAACTTGTGTTGATAGTATAAAATGTGTTTGGTCTTTTGTTTTGGTGAATAGAATGTAATTTATATTAGATTATATGAATCAAGAAAGAAACTTAAAGATATAAATGGACACAATATTTACGTTAAAAATCAAATGATATATTGATGATGTAATTATGTGGATGTTTTGGCAAATAAAAACAAGATTATGTAATAATCTCAATAGTATGTTATAAATTCATATTAACCTAAATTATAATAAAAATATATGAATAAGGTGGGATAAAATATATAAAAATTGTGCTACACCAAGTTCACTCAAAGTTTATCAAAGGTCAATCTTGATTCTCTTTGCATTCGAGTTACCTCAAAATCTCAACAATATATTCAAACCATTTGATTTGAATGTAATTAGGGTGTTCATGAGACCTAATAGCCTAGTATGCTTGCTCAAGCCTACGAAAAAAATGCCCTACCCAAGCCAAAAAATGCGGCCTGAAGAACAAAATGGGCATTCTCGAGCTGGGTTATCATGGGCAGGGCAGGGCCGGGCCGTGGGCATGGCATGTAGCCCTGTCCATTTGGCCCTGCCCAATATATATATAATTATTTATATTATAATATATATTTTCTCAGAATTATAATGTGTATAGTGTAATATTAATATACTATATTTTATTATACTTCAAAAGGAACATTACCCTCTTATATTATTAGACTTTATATTTTTAAAGTTCTAGTTTTTTTTTTAAAAAACACACCACCTTTTTTAACTTTTTAAAATTATCTTGCTATGTACTATAATTATTTTTTAACTTTTATATGTTGATATTACTTCATATATCATGAAATAATACTAATTATACCAATTTGAATGTAATATATAAATCTCTATAAATTATATTAAACTATAAGTTAATAATATAATTGAACATGTTAATATAGCTTGTATTTTTTTTTATATATTTTGTTATTTTCTCAACTTTGTGGAAGTTGATGCAAATTATTTGGATTTTAAGACTTTAATTACAATTTTTTTATTGTCTTGTTTTTAATAAATTATGGATATTGTTAAATTCTTAAAGTATGGATATCTGTTCAGGCATACAGCAGTTTCACGACTCAAGTTATAAATTTGGGCAAGAAACCCTGCCCTGCCCTGCCCTGCCCACAATGGCCCAGCCCAAAATAGCATGGGCTTCTATTGGGCAGGGCCGGGCACTAGGCTGCATTTTGCAGCCCGCTCATCCTTCTGGCTAGACATCAGGCAGGGATCCTGCCCTACCTAGTTCTACCCATGCACACCTCTAAATATAATTCAACTTCAATACAAGTCAAATACAACTCTAGTTCTATCTAAATCAACCTTTATCCTCAATGTTGTAATTTCTCTAGTAAGACTCAAGTTTGTTGGAAGTTTAGTC